TCGGTTCCCCCCCCCCAAGTGAAAATTCCTTTGCTTTCCCCCCACTTCAAGATGTTTCTAATCACTCGCCATTATATAAAACCTGGAGAGCAACTGGTTTCTGTTCCCAGGCGAGACCTGGAGGAAAAAATACAGAAAGAGCAAAAAAGCAGATCCTCTCTTGCTCTGCCTGCTTTGCACATGGCTGGGACAGATCTTCAAATAACTGCTCCTATCAGTTGATGAATCAGTCCCGGAGGTGGTTGCAATAATCAGAATAAGTGGAGCCCTGAGCACAATGGAAACAAGGTCCCAAGAGATGATGTAGGCACCTTTAAACTGCAAGATGAATCTGTGGTTTTCAAAGACAGCCTGGGTGCTAGAACAGCAGCCTGGCTGCCTTTTAGATCCATCCCTTTTATTTGAAAGGATTCTTGTGGAGCAGTCTAATCACCCACAAGCACCAATCTGCCTCTCCTCCCCAGTAAAATGACAGCTCTCAAGCATTTGGGGACCTGCTGCCTACCGGTGACAACAGAAGAAGCTAGACAGTGAGACAACACTGGATTTTGCTCATTGATATTGCACAGCAATTGTAACCAGCTACCATATGGCTCCTCAGTTATCACCGGACCATTAAAATGAGAGCAAAGACCTGTGCTGCCTCTTCCACAAATGCCTTTCACAAGCAGTCAGTTGAAAATAAAGGACTCTGTTCCCCACTGATAGAAGGGCTGGTGCCCTGCCAAGTGTGGCACACACTCTCTCAGGAAGCTGTTGTCAGTAACAGATTACCAGTGATGCCCCACAATAACATTCTCTGTCCATGGGCTACCCTTTGTGTTACCTAGATGGAAAAGGAAGAACAGATCTGAAGCAGGCAGAGAGACTTGTGATCCTAATTCCCTTTGGTGCTCCTGAAACCTTGAGCTGTATTCAACAGCTCTTGAAGAGCTACAGGCCCAACTCCCTGCTGTTATGTTTGCTCTCAGGAGTATAGTGAATAATTTCGAGAGAACATCGTAGACAGATACCAATTAATGCAGTCTTTGATGAGATAGTGTGTCCAATGAGATAGACTAATTGGTGACACCCTTCCCTGGACCTCCTTTGTTGGAAAGCAAGGAAAAGTGCCAGATGGTTCACCCTGACTAAGTCTCCTCACGGCTGTGAGGGATTCTGGGTAGCAGAAAGGAATGGCAACATAACTTGCAGCATAGCAGGGGAGAGAAAACAACAGAAAATTGGTAGCTTGATTTCCAGGGTATGGAACTAAATAATGTCCTTTGTCTTAGATAACTCTGCTAAAAGGAAGGAAGATCTGATGGTGAGTATTGAAAAAGCAGATGATGAACCAACTGGCATATCCCTGCCCAGGTACTGAACACGTTCAGATGATGCCAACCGTGTCCCATTTTAACCAGAGCATCATGAGCCCCAGTCTCCCAGCCCATAGACTATGCCTGCTAGGTGCCCTTTGGCAGAAGGTATGCAGGGGGAAACAGTACAGTACCTGCCCGGGACGTTCTGCTGGCAGTGCTGCCTTTGCTACTCCCGATGCTGTCCCCCCGCGTCAGGATGGAGATGCCACTGAAGCTGCTGGCTTTGGTAACAGGTGGTCGCAGGCTGCGGATGGAGCCATCTGAGTCTGTGCTGCTCCATGGCCGAGGCTCCAGCGACTTTATCTCACTCTCTGTGCTGCTCTGGCGGCTGCCTGAGGCCCGGTTCAAACTGTCCCGGTTGCCCCTGCAGAAACCAGAGGAGTTAGACCGCGCCTCCAGTGGAAAGGGGCAGCAGCAAGACCTGCAGGTGCTGCATCAGTACCTGCCACACCAGGGTGGTGAGCCCAGTCAGCAGCTGGCTCTGTGACACAGCATGTTGGCACTTTGTATAGGGATCTGACAGCAAACACACACCCTGGGTCACAGCTTTCTTGAGCATGCACTGTGAAGACCCAGACACTGCTGATCTTCCTTGGCATGTGTTGAGAGCTGGCTCCTGGCCCTTTTCCCTAGCCAGATCCCAGCCTGGAAGAGATGCCAGCAGGGTCAGAGCTTGATCACTTGCTAAAGCCCTCCTTGTCTCAGAACAGGGAGCTTTTAGCAGAGACCTTGAGACAAGGCTGATCGAGATCTTGTGAGACCACTTTCCACACCAGTCCTCGTAAGGCTTTCTGCCCAGCTGGAACAGCTACACGCTGGGATATTGCTATGCTCAGAGCTGTGCTCCTACTGATCACCCTCCCTTAGCCCTGGTCTGGCCACAGCAGAATTTTACGGAGTATCAGCAAAACATCCCAAGCTGTGAGCCTGGTTTATCAGCCCAGCTAAGGATCATAAGCACAGTAATGGGTTCCCGGGCCTTCACTGGGGAGGAATGGTGAGGAAGGCAACACTGGAAGAGATGCTCATATAACACTGCCGGCTGAGCCTGGCAGCAGCTCCACACAGTTGTGGAGGGGAAAAGATAGGCATTGAAGGAACTTCCGAGGTGATGTCCTGGGCTGCTGGGAGCATGTGGGAGCCAAAGAAAATACACGTCTTGGAAAACCAGTACAATGGTTATATCCCTAAAGAACTGAAGGAATTGGACTATGCAGCCTCAAACCCCAAATTACACTTGACCTAACAAGCATCACTGTCAAGCTCTTGGGCTCTCTCCAACTTAAACTCTGAAGGCTGCTCCTGGGGATGTTCAGCGAGGTGTGGGGCAGTGTTTGTGTGTGTGGGGAAGGGGCATGTCACGGCCTCTGTTCTGACTCAGCTGCAAACTCTGGTTCCCTGAGAACCCAGACCCCTCTCAAGCTGATTACTGCTAATTCAGCAGCATAACAATTCTGATTTTTCTACAAACGCTCTCCAAACTCCAGGCACGCTACCACACCCTTGCTCTCCGAGAGCACTGCCCTAGCAGCTTCGGCCATGCCTTTCTCCCCATTAGCCTTACTAAAGCCTGTTTCCAAGTGTGTCCACCAGCAGAGAGCTCTCTGCAGTCAGATCTGTGCTTCAGCAGCATTAATACAGGACTTCCAAGCGAGTGAAACAGACAGCTGTATTGCTCTGAATGCCGGGCTTCGAGGGCGGTAAGTCTCTGGAGTTGACACAGACATCATCTCCAGCACCACCACTGAGGGAACCCCAGTCTCCTCAAGAGCTTATCCATCTCTGTCCAGAGCTCCACCATTCCCACTATGGGAACCACAAAACAAAGACAGCAGGTTAAACAAACTCTTTAGGGATTGGGCACAACAGTCAGAAAAGCTCCCAGTGCAACCCTGGCTGCAGCTTAGCTCCTAAAGCTGCAATCACATCAGCGATGTTTTTTTTGCCACTTGCTGGGTGAGTTTTACTACAGCCCCATGGCTGATCTGAAAACTATACCCCCTGCCTTGAACACCACTGCCAGAGGCAGACTCCAGGACACAGTCCCTGTAACTGTGCTGAGGACACTTGATTTTCCACAACAGTGTCCCTCCAAGGACAGCCTGAGCCATGTGACGGACTGAGGAGAGGGGCAAAGCTGTTCCTACATGCTTAGATCCTCCTGTCCTGTTCATACACAGAGATGCTTCATCTCTAGAGCTTTGGCTATTAAATGAGAGGACAGCAGGCACGAGGGTCTCTTCATTTTCATCCTGTTCTTTATCCTCATACCTTCAGCAGCCTCCTGCGGCAGGGGTGTGTGCAAGGTGACTCGTCATGCTAACTCCATCCTTCCAGCCCTTTCATCCACAGGAAAACTACTTAAGGAGAAAATGCTGCTCAAACATGTTCCCAGTGCCCTCTGCAGCACACTCTGGCTGAAATGGAAGCCTGAGACACTTCACTGCCACCATTAAGTAATCCAGCCTTTATAATCAGGGATTAGGGACAACCCCATCTTATCTGGATGCTGATCCTGCCACTGTAAGGGCAGAGGCTTTCCTATCCTTTTGGGAAACAAGAGGTGGAACGGTTTGAAAACTTCTGGAATCTTCTGGCTTCCCCATTCCTCCCTGCCGTTCCCGCCTTCCACCCCTCCATTTTAATCGATGAATCAGCAAAAAAGGACTCAGAAATTGATGTTGCAAAAAATACAACTTCAATAACTTCACAAGCAGCCATGCATGGGGCAAACTTACTCAGCAGGACAATGTACAAAATAAGTCACACAGAGATACCTAAAAATCTGCCTCCGTTTGTGAGAACTAGAAGAAAAGCCTTCTTTGGAGATTCTGTCGGTTAACATCAGAAAAAAGCATCATTATAGAGTCATGCAGTCCTCCGTAGAGAAAGCCAGAGATACAAATAGCGTCTGCTAAATAGTACTAACCTGCTGTCAGTGAGATATCCATTCTGGCCAGTCTGGAAGCACGGAAAAGACATGGAGATGGGAAGGAAAGAAAAGGGAGACTTAGTAACTTTGAAAGCAATAAACCCAGGCAATTTCAAAGCAAAGAGGAACAAAGCACTAACAGCAGGGGACTCAGACACAGTTTGTGTTGTGTACCAGTTACATGGTCATTCAGGAATCTTGCTCAGCCTTTTGCACACCAGTCCCACTTGGCTCTCCATCCAGGCCCATTAGGAACCTTTCCTGATACCCGAGACCCTGAGATCTCTCAAGAGTTTGCAAATCTGAGTCCTCAACTCCCTACTTCATTGCTCTAAGGCAGCTTTGATGGTAGCTTTGTCAATGGAACAATCACGGCCAGACATGCAAGGGTCCTTATTTGCTAAATGCAGGCACAATTATCAGAGCCATGAAAAAAAGGCAGAGGGCTCAAAGCCAGCTTAGCCTACCCTGTGATAGTCACCCCTGCCTCTGGAAGTCAGATACAAAGCACCGGCTCAGCCCATAAACACAGAGCCAGGATAAGTACGTGCCCACCCAGTGTTGTGCTACCATGAGACAGCACCTGCTCTACTCCAGGACTATAGACAGAGCTGCTTACTAACATGTCTGGATGGCTTTGGGCCTCTGCATGTAAGACAAGTCCATGGTCACAACTGGCTGGAGAGTCACCAGCTGAAGCCTGGTGACTTGACTAGGGACTCAGCACAGTAGCTGCCTTAACATTCTCCTTGGGCAGGCACAGGGCAATTCCCATTAGGACAAATGAAAGGCGTCGTCCGCTAGACACTCAAAAAGCAGCAGGCAAGGAGCTGGACTCTGAACATGATCCACGGCAGATGGGCACTTGGAATCGTCCCTGATTCCATCATTTGCCACTTGGCACAGCGCAGAGAGCTGCCTCCAGCTGGCAGACAGTACTCAACACAGCAGAGCACAGCAGCCTCTCTGAGCCAGACGTGAGCAAGGAACATAGCTCTGGCTTAGAGGAGTTCCATGTAGGGAGCAGAGATCTCAAGGAAGCAATAATCAAGCTGGACACTTCATAAGAAAGACAGTACTGCCCAGATTGATCCTGTACAGGCACAGAGCCCTGCCTGATACTCCAAGGCCAGCACTGCTTGGTCAGGAGGTGCAAGCTGCAGCACTGGAGAGAAGCCGGGGGAGACAGCTGCTGCTCCTTTCAGGTTCATCAATTGATTTGCTAGTCATCCCAGAAATGCCACTGCATAAGCTTATAATCTTGCTGGGCAGCAAGGAGCAAAAGTGCCTCCTCTGTCAGTCCCCACACATCTATTGCCCCCTGAAACAGGCAATTTAGGGAAAG